GGTAGAACTTTAATATGGAATATACATTTTAAATTAAACGATGATATTAAATACTAAAATATTTTTTTTTGAATTACTGTCTCAAATTAGATAAATCACCTGCATGATGAAAAGCAACGCCAAATGATATGGTTTTGCTTAAATCAGTTTCAAGGCCAACGGGACATCTACTAAGTTGTTCCAATACATCACCTAAACCTTTAATTGATTTCTTAATTCTATTCCAATTTTTGATTTATTATCACTACCTAAAATCAAAATAAATTATCTCCAACATTATAAATTTGATTTGGTATTATTAACTAACAATTTATAATTCGCTTTTGTTTCTTTATAAATAACGACCACTCATCAAATCAAAAAAACTTATTAAAGGAATAATATAGATTGTTATATATATTTCATTAGTTATCTTTAAGATCCTCAGATTATAATTAATTTTTTATTATGAAGTTGGTTGTGCATTTTATATCAAGCCTCTTAAAAATTATTTTTAAACCTCTAATATTAAGTACACAATTATTGTAATATTACAATTTTTTTCACGTAAAACACGTACATTTTTTAATAGACTTGCAATCTTTAAGGTTATGCTAATTAATAACTATTATTAATTATAAATACAATAATAATAAAAAAAACATTAGAATACCCTCTAAAATATAAATCACTATTAATTATGTTTTTTATATTTCTTTAAGGACCCTTTAATATTTTATTGCTTGGCAAAATTTATAAATATTTTAGAACTAAAGTTACAATTAATCATAATATTTTGAACTACCCATATAATTTCTATTTTTAATAAAACTTAAATAATATTTATAATGAAATAATATTTTCTTTACAATGAAGTTATTTTTTCATTCCGAGTGCAGTGTGGGGTTATTAGTTTAACTATGATCAATATCATAAAAGTCAAGTAATGCTTATGCAAGTTGCAAAGAAAATATTATAAGATAGACTATGCTATTTTTACATAGTTTTTATTTAAATTATCGTATTATTTTGTAAATTTTTAATTTTAAGAACAATTTTACTCAGTAGATGTACGAGGTTTGTTCAAAAAGTTCCCGAATTTTTCAATTTTTTTATATATGGTGCTTACTTACAAGCTATTGAGACTTATCACCCTCGAAGTATTCTACCTCTTGGTTAATACACTTTTGCCAACGACGTTTCCATTGTTGAAAGCAATCCTGGAAAGCGGTTTCTGGAATTGCTCGTAACTCCGTTAGCGAATTTTCTTTTATTTCGTCTATCGTAGAAAATCTTTGTCCTTTTAACGGATATTTTAGTTTTGGAAATAAAAAAAAGTCTGCTGATGCCAAATCGGGAGAATATGTTGGATGAGGAAGCACGTCATGTGATTTTTCACGCAAAAATCACGAATTAACAGGGAAGTGTGCGCCGGAGCATTGTCATGATGAAGAAACCATGAGTTTTTTTTCCACACTTCAGGCCTTTTCTTCTGCACTTTTTCTCGAAGACATTTTAATACTTCTAGATAGTACTATCGGTTAACAGTTTGTCCTGCAGATAGAAATTCGTGATGAATAACTCCCAGGTTTTCGAAAAAAACTGCTAGCATGACTTTGACGTTTGATCTGACCTGACGAGCTTTTTTTGGTCTTGGAGAAAATTTACCAACCCACTGTGATGATTGGACTTTTGTCTCAACATCATAGCCATAGACCCATGTCTCATCACCCGTTATAATTTGCTTCATGAACATGTCATCATCGTTAGCGCGATCTAACAATTCTTGACAGATTGTTACGCGGTTGTCTTTTTAATCTTGCGATATCAATCGAGGGACAAATTTTGCTGCAACGCGGTGCATTCCAAGTTTTTCGACCAGAATTTCATGACATGGACCAACCGATATGTTACAATCTTCCGCGATTTCTCGAATAGTTAAACGTCTATTAGACCGCACCATTTCATTGACTTTTGTCACATGAGCATCGTCTGTCGATGTCGACGGACGTCCTGAACGTGGGTCGTCATCAACTAATTCCCGACCGTCTTTAAAGCATTTAAACCAGTCATAACACTGTGTACGTCCTAAACACTGATCACCATAAGCATTTTGCAATATTTTGTGAATCTCAGTAAAAGATTTACAAAGTTTAACACAAAATTTAATATTAATACGTTGTTCGTGAAAATTACACATCTTAAAAATCGCATATTACACACGATTCGTCTACTTTGAACGTGCACAGTTAATGATTCGATAGCAATAAACATTTGGGATTTAATTGAAAAGATAGCTGCTTATCTCTATTTTATTTTGATATAATAACATTTACAATAATGTAATTTTTCTATTTTTAGAAACGATAGTTCAGGAACTTTATGAACAGACCTCGTATTTTAATTAAAGTATTTTTTAAATTTATTTTTTATCATAATTTTATATTTGTTCAAATATTTTATTAACATTTTTATCTTTTTAATCAATTATGTAGGTATTAACATAATATTTACATAATTTGATATTACACAATAAATTACAAAAGTGTATATCATTATTTGATTACCTACATACATAAACCTTCCATGTAATATAGTATCTGAATTTATCATTAAACATTGTCCTGTAAAAATAAATAGTTTAGTTAAAAATTATATATAATGGTTATAGCGGATCAAACAGCACGGAAAGAATAATATTTCTTCTTGGACTACGTATTAGCAGTGGCGGCTCGTGCCTATGTGCGATGGTGCGATCGCACCCTCTACTGAAATTACAAAATATTTGAAATAATATAATATTTGATTTTATTTTTAATATTGTTATAATAATTATTATTATTTTTATTATTTTATATCTATCATAAATAATAAATATATATGTGTGTATATAGTAATGAATAGGGAACGGATTTATATGTAAATACATATTTTTATTAAAACGAGATATTTAAAATTTGATAAGAAATGTTCATGATTTAAATCATTCCTATTAATATGATGCTACTTTTATTTTACATATTTTTACATATTTCACTAATTTGTAAATATTTTTAAACATATTTTATTATTTCATCATTCATACGTCTTCTTCGTACAAAAATACAAAAAATTATTTCAAATTTAGATCCAGAACTTTTATCGCTATTAGAAAAGCTCAAAATATTATGCAAAATGAAACATTGAAAACAAATTTAATTTTCATCTTAATGAATTTTAGTTTTATTGCACATACAATTAAAAAATTAGAAACAAAAATATGTCCTTGAATGAAAGTATGCAAATTGTCGAATCAACGATTGCAAAATGAATACTCGTAAACGGACCAATAGGAGAAGTAGTAAAAAAGAAAATTCATGTTTTTACAGAAAAAAATTTCAGGCCATATTGATTTTAAATCAATTAATGACATAATTAGTGGCAGACACCCTTCTAAAAATTTGGAATTATCGCCTTCTAATATTATGCCCTTCAAATATGCTTAAATCAACCGATATAGGTTGATGTGGAACGATCATTTAGCCGTTTTAAAAATATTTTCAGATCTAATAGGCGACATTTAATATTTGATAATTTAAAATATATTGTAATTATTCAATGCAACAAATCATTTTGATAATTTAATAATTATAATTTTTTTTTTTTTTTAAATTTTTTTCCTACATATTTGGATGGTTTTAGTACATATTTTATAAATTATACTTACATACATATGTACATATTTATGTATTTTTATTACATATAAATCCGTTCCCTAGTAATGAATATATTACATTGCGGCTGTCGATATTATGTGATGTGTGCTACGTTGTGAATCGCACATATAAAAACCGGTTTTTATAGAAAATACAACATATTATCCTCGGCGGCGGTAGCGGTCGTATAAGCTATGATGTACGATGATTTCTGTCGTACAATTCGGGCGGCGGAACGGGGACCGTTGCAATCATTAGGTGGTGTGTGTAGGTGTGTTTTATCCAAGAATAGAATCATACAAATAACCACACTAATGGGTAAACCTAAATACGATTATAATTTTATTTAGTCGATGTTGATCGTGCTGATTAAAGCTAATGATGGGTATGATGTGCAATGAAATCCGTCGTACAATTCGGGCGGTGGAACGCGATCCGTTGCTATCACTAAAATAGGTCGTGTGTATGTGTTTTTCCACGAATCATACATATTATAAACACAGTATTTAGACCATACCTAAATATAATTGTATTTTATCGGCATTGACAGTGGCCGTAAAACTATGATATGCGACGATTTCTGTCGAACAATTCGGGCGGCGCGGCTGTCAGTAGTTGTGTAGTGGTTGTTACGATTGTATCAAATTAAAAACGGTGAATATTTTTATTTTAATCGTTTTATATAAGGTTTGGTATACAGGAATTATAAGTAGTATTTTAATATAATAAATAATATTTATTATTTATATTTTATAATGATATATATCATATTTTCAATATTTTATTTTTATTTATTATTCATATTATGAATTCGATTCAAGAAATTTTAAAATTAAAATTATCATCTTTAACTTTAGAAAAAAAAGTGGAAATTAAAAATTTGGGTAGACCTCTACCAAATTTATCCAACTTGATTAATATTTCTAAAAAAGGACAAAAATAATATACTCGTCCTTTTAATATTGAGCTTTATCAAAAGTTTAAATAGCTCTGTGGGTGTGAAACTACAGTATCATTATTTTGTTTTCCTTGTGTATGTTTTAGAGGTGATTTATCTTGGAGTAAAACTGGTGTAAAAGATTTAATACATCTTTTAGTCAAATTAAATAAACATGAAAATTCGTTTAATCATCTACAAAATGAGGCAAACTTCAAAGTATTGGGAACTATGGACATCAGAAGTCGAATCGACAGTGGTTATAAATTAGGGATTAAACGTCATAATGAGCTAGTTTCTAAAAATCGAAATATTTTTGAAAAAATTTTAAATTGTGTAAAATTTTGTAGAAATTACCAATTACCATTACGTGGCCACGATGAAAAAATTTCATCAAAAAACCAAGGCGTTTTTCGTGGTTTGATTAACTTATGTTCAGATTTAGATCCAAGTTTACAGGAACATTTTCAGAAATCTACTGTTTTCAAAGGTACTTGTAAACTCATACAAAATGAATTATTGGTTTGTATTTTAAATGTTACAAGAAATTATATATTAAATGAAATAAATAATTCGGAGTTTTTATCTATTATTGTGGACGAAACAACTGACATATTTAACAAATTTAAATTAGCATTAATATTTCGTTATGAAATTAAAGGGATTCCTGTAGAACGTTTTTGGGGATTTTTTAAACCTAAAGGACATGATGCATACTCCTTAACCCGATCTATTCTAAATGAAATCGATCCTATAATAGAAAAAAATCCTCAAAAATTCATCGCACAAGCATATGACGGAGCTGCTGTTATGAGTGGTCATCAATCTGGAGTTAACGTACGAATAAAAGAAAAATATCGGTACGCTTATTTTATTCATTGTTACGCTCATCAAATGAATTTAATTACGGCTCAAGCAACTTCCCATAATAAACAAGTAAAAGTATTTTTTTCAAATTTGTCTCAAATTCCAACATTTTTTTCGAATTCTCCACAGAGAGTAGCTATACTAGATGAAATAGTAGGTGCTTGTTTACCAAAAACAGTTCAAACACGTTGGAATTTTAATATTAGAACAGTAAATATGGTTTATGAACATAGAGATACGTTGATTGAATGTATGGAGAAAATTATTGATGCATCCTCGCAATCTAGTTCTATTAATTAAGCAACAGGACTTAAACTACTTCTAAAGGATACGAGTTTTATTTTTTGGCTTAATTGTTTTCATAAAATTATGCCTTATGTTGATTGTTTGTATAATGCTGTTCAAGCAAGGAATACTGATCCAGTACAAGTTCAAGATTTTGTTAGAAAATTTAAAATAGAAATTCAAAAAATTCGCGATAATTTGACAACACTTATAGAAATACCGAATATTGAAAGTTCTTCCAAAAGAAAACGAATAGAAGATTCTATGAACAATAGAAATTGGCTGCTTTAGAAGTATGTGACGTGTGACGTAATATCTATTCAAGCTCAGAGACGTTTTGATTTTACTAAACATTTAACAGCAGCTCAACTTTTCCAAAATGAAAAATATGTGATATATAATAATAATTTTCCATCAAAAGCTCTGAATTTTACTGTCGAATGCTATCCATTTTTTATTCAAGAACTTTGAAAACCGAGTTAGAGGTAGTTTACTCACGTAATGATTTTCGAAATTTAAAAGGTGTAATTTCTACAATAAATTATATTATAAATAATAACATGGAAGACACATTTAAAGAAGTTTTTAAATTACTAAAAGTTTTGGTAGTCACCCCAATGACATCTTCAGAAGCCGAAAGAAGTTTTTCAACATTGAGGAGAATTAAGACATGCTTAAGAAGTACAATATGTGAGGACAGACCTAATGCTTTGACTATGTTAAGTGTAGAGAGCCGTATAATAAATGAAGATATTGATTTCAACAAAAAAGTAATCGATAACTTTTGTGACATCAAGGAAAGGAGGCTTGATTTCCAGTATAAAATTTTAACCTAATGAAGAAAAAATTTTAATGTAACTTTTGTATTTATTTCATATATTATGATAAATGATAATAAATAACATATGCTTATGTAGATAATAAATAAATAACCTAATAATTTTAATTTAATATTCTGAGTAAATTAAAAAAAAAATTATCGCACCCCTTTGTCAAATTACCACGAGCCGCCACTGCGTATTAGGATTTCTAAAAACGGATATTTGTTTTAGTTTTATATTTGAAAACAAGAAAATTAAAATTTGAATATTCTTAATATCAAAAGTATTATTATGCCTATAAAATATATCTTTGCGTATCTGGTTGTTTTTTTATATTTCATCATAGTAGTAAAATCATAACAAAATACACTATTTAGTAACCAATCTAAAAATGTTTAGAAATTAATAATAAATATGGTGGCCAACAAAAACTAGTTAAAATTGAAAACACTAATTGTGCTGCCTAAACAAAATCTACCATGTTATCTATACTAATTGTGACCCTGTTATTTTGTTTCTCTCCTTCGACCTGTATGATTGTATTTTTATTTTTTTGTAATATTGAAGTCGGTGGCGCTGATTCCTATGTGTAAGTATAGCGGATATCTTTATTTTTTTTTTTTAGTATGTGTAATATAGATGCAAGATTTGTGGAAAACAAGTTAACGATCGAGTTATGATAACAAAAAGTAGATTTAATTATCCTATGATTGATCGCAGTCCAAATGAACTTATATGAATGATATATTTAAAAATATTATTTTAGCTCTAATGAGCATATTTATATAAACTAATGAAAACCGGGTATCCATTTCTATATTGAGACCGGCGTTTGTTCATCCTTCGTCGATTAGGCCTACTCGGGGAAACCACGTAAAAAAACAATCTCTAATTACTATATGTTCATTCTTATTTGTTTAGAAATTCAATAAGAGCAGGCCTAAAACTTATAGCATTTTTCCTAGAATTGAATATTCATTCAAAATAAAATAACTAATTTTTGTATTTCGAGCTCCTTTAAGTAATTAGAAAAAGTGCATCGATATTAGATAATGTTTATTAAAATATTGTTTTAAATTACTATTTTAAAAAACAACTTTATGGCTGCTACTTTGCTTCTTTTGAAAGTAAATTAACAAAGAATTCTTTTCTTTATACATTTTATAAACTAAAATTTATTTTAATTTTATTAATTGGTGAATAGTTAAACACAAAACAATATAAAAACCAATTCAATAATTTATCTCATTGCATACTTTCCATGATTAAAGTGTATAGATAAGAAGTTGGTATCATTTTGGATTGATATTACAGCTACAGAATGTATATTAATTGGAAAGTCAGTACCTAGTTATTACTCCTAATATAATGCAGATATTGAAGTTCCGTTTTTTTTTAACAAAATATGTGACTTATAGCTCATCTTTTACCACGGTTAAAAAAAATCCGAAATTCAAAACCGCCAAAAATTTCAAAAATAACCACTTTGTAGAATTACTTATAAGTTACTCAGAGAAAAAAAAAATTTGAAATCGGTTAAATTTTCAATGAATGAGAGCATTTTATACTTTCAAAAAACACAGCAAATTGTAAAATGTTATAGTTTTTAAACTTTTAAAAAGATATAATAATAATAATAATAATAATATGATATTAGGTAATGAAGTAAACAACTCATTATTATTTTTTGTAATATTTTTGTTTTTTGCTGATTGTTTTTGAGCTCATTCATTCAAAATTTAACCGATTTCAAATTTTTTTTTCTGAGTAACTTATAAGTAATTCTACAAAGTGACTATTTTCGAAATTTCTCAATAAATTTTTTTGGCGGATTTGAATATTGGATTTTTTTTTAACCATGGTAAAAGATGGGCTATAAGCTACATATTATGTTAAAAAATAAACGGAACTTCAATATCTGCATTACATTAAAAGTAATAACTACTGACTTTCCTATTAATTTACATACTGTATAATGATAAGTGTTCGCATGCGACACCAGTTTTTCGCGCCTATTGAAGTACGCCGGTCTGCCTATTTACGTTCTGTACATGAATCTAGCACTCGGTGCTAAATCAACGTATAGTCCGGAGTAGTAATTTCTGTTCCGTTTTATACACGAGTTCGGCACTTCAGCGTAATACATGTTATAAAATATTTAATATGTACTTTTTATATAATATCATAAATAATATTCCGTTCAATATTTATTAATTCAATTTATATTTGGTATTCAACCATTAATTACGCTGAAGTGCCGAACTCGTGAATAAAACGGAACAGAAATTACTACTCCGGATTATACGTTGATTTAGCACCGAGTACTAGATTCATGTACAGAACGTAAATACGCAACCGGTCTCCACAATGACGCTTCGGGCGTAGATTTTTCTAGAAGTTGCCCGCCGCCCAATCGCAGTTCTTGTGACGGCTGGTGAGACTGCGCGTCGCCACGGCGTCTGTCGTTCTTACACTTGTGTTTGGGTCGGGTCTTGTGACTCGTTAACGACCATTCGGCCCTAGATGTATGTCATGTTTTTGCAATACGACCTTCCACGAACAACGTGTCTTATTTTCCGCTTTACGTAATCTATGTCATGCTTTGCGTACGTGCGTGATCTTCGCTCGCGTCAGTCGTTTTGTCGCCCGACGGTGGGTATTCCCGGTGTGTCAGACAAACCACGTGGGTGTCGTCAATCGTTTACACGTTTTGAGACGTAGAGCGAATCAACCAGGTGTAACTTTCCTCCCAGTATAACGCTGGTTTGGGCTGCGTACAGTCATCACAATGTCGGAGTGAAAGATTTGGCTGTATTCCTTGCCGAGTTCCCGTTGTCGTGCGGTGGTTGTTATTGTGGTGCGGCGAATCAACCAGGAAGTGTGGGGTGACGGTGTTCCGGGAAGTGCGGTGACGTCTGTTGTCAGCTGGCTTGATTTATATTTTTTTTTCGTATAATGTAGGGGCGTCTCGGTCAGGATTAATGATAAATTAATTAACATCGCATATAATTAATTATTGCACAGCGGCACAAAAAAAACTTTATTTAAATCAAAATTAACGCATGACAAAATATAAAAAATATATCAAAGAAAACATATAATGAAAGAACTCGACATCGGGCTACTTCGCACACGATAGGTCGTCGAGACGAACTACTGTCTACTAACACAAACAATATAATAATTACATAATATCATATTATCACATATATCTTATCATCAAACTGTCATTACATTATTATTTATTACTAAAATAATATATTATTAATTTGTAAAATTTAGTGTCAAAATTATTCTATATTTATAAGTTGGTTATCCCGGTCCTGTTTATCATCTGCGCAAGTTGCGGCAGAAAACTGCATAGATCGTAAGATCTGTCGCAGCGAAATCAATAAGTACATTATTGGTATTGATAATATTTTGTGGGGAGATTCTCTTCGCGGCGAACAGTCCAGCGGTGAAATGTCCGGGTCCGTAAATTATTAGTTTTGTAGATTTCGATGTTGCACGGATAAAACTCAAAATTATGAATTTCACATATGGATGGATATTACGATTGAAAGTGACAAATATTGTGGTGTTCATTTAGTTTTTCGTATCTTATCAACAGACATCGAGTGCAGTTATGGCAGTCCGCATAATTCGTTAATTTATTGATATGGCTAAAGCCTATTTGCGCCCCAGAGTAGTACATTTGCGCCCCGAGGGATGTGGATAGATGTGCCCGAAAGATAAGGTACTACCTGCTGATTTATAGCCCATATGCGTCCATTTCACTTACAACGTTGCCATTGTGATTTATAATATAGATTATTTTTATCTTGATAAATATTTAAATTAAGTAGATTAGTATATTATACTATTATAGTAATTATTAGTAGGAATTTAGCTGTAATCGTATAATTAAATATTATTAAATTATTTAAGATTGAACTGTTATAAGTAACCGTAGAACGTACATTTTCTGGGCTCAAGTTTATATGTAGTGACCTAAGATCATCATTGCCATCTGATTTACTCAATGAAATCATTATTATATGAGTATATAAGATGGATACGGAAATTTGATATGTTTTTTTAAGTTTAATATTTAATATTTTTATAAGATTATATTATTCAGTGATACACTATGGAAAAAGATTAATTTTTTTGTTAATTATTTTAAGTTTTTCAAGTGTTAAGTTTGAACTTTGA